CCCAAGGTGTTTGAGAGCTTTAGACAATATTTGGCTTCTAATCCCACTGCTATGTCTAGATCTATGTCTCGTTCTGGTCCTTATTCATCTGGTACTTCAGGTATTCCCTCATCTTTGTGGATTTTAGATTCTGGTACAACCTATCATATGACTCCTCATTTGTCATCATTTACTTCTTTGTCATAAGTGTCATCTATTTTTGTTAAGTCTGCTAGTGATACATCTATGCTAGTTGAGGGTGTTGGGTCTGTCTCTGTTTCTCATATCACTCTTCCTGATGTTTATTACTTTCCCAAACTTACTTTGAACCTTGCCTCAGTCAGTCAGTTATGCAAGTCTAGTAATTGGGTGTTCTTTTCTAATTCTATATGTGTTATACAGGATCAACACACCCAAAAGGTGATTGGGATCAGCCGTAGGGTGGGGGAACTATATGTCTTGGAGGTCCTCAAAGTATCTGTTGTTGCTGCTTCCAGCATTGATTTATCTTCTTTTCATTTGAGTCCTTTGTCATCTGAGTTTTATCTTTCGCATTCTCGTTTGGGACATGTGTCTGTATCACGTTTGAATTTCTTAGCATCTAGTGGCGTTTTGGGTCATTTAAACTTTTGTGATATTTTTTATTGTAGTGGTTGCAAACTAGCAAAATTTTCTGCTTTACCCTTCAATAAAAGTATGTCTTGTTCTACTGCTCCTTTTGATATTATTCATTCTGATGTGTGGGGTCCTGCACCAGTATCCACAAAGGGTGGGTCAACCTATTATGTATCTTTTATAGATGATTATGCTTGATATACATGGGTTTATCTTATGAAACACAGATCTGATTTCTTTGATATTTACAACAATTTTAGAGCTCTTGTTAGAACTCAACATTTGGATGTGATTAAGTGCTTCAGTTGTGACTTATGGGGTGAATATACCTCTAATGATTTCACTCAGTTACTTTCTTCTAATGGTATCATACACCAGTCTTCGTGTACTGACACACTTCAGCAAAATGGTGTGGCAGAACGAAAACATTGTCATATTGTTGAGACTGCCCACTTATTGCTCATGTCTACGCATGTCCCTAGTGCCTTTTGGGGAGAAACATTCCTAACTGTTGTGTATGTGATTAATCGTATCCCTACTTCATTGAATTCAGGAATATCTCCTTTTGAGAAGTTATATGGTCATCTACCAGACTACTCTTCCTTACGAGTTTTTGGATGTACTTGTTTTGTTCTTCGTCCTCATGTTGAAAGGAACAAGCTGGGGCCGAAATCTGCTATTTGTGTATTTTTGGGGGTATGGTATTGGTCAAAAAAGATATCGTTGCTATGATCTTATGAGTCAGAAGTTATATGTTTCTCGCCACATTACTTTTTTGGAACATATTCATTTCTACTCGATTCCTGCTACAACCCACAATATAACAAAGTCTGATCTTCTGCGTATTGATCCTTTTAATGAAGATATACAGGCTCAAGACTCATCTATGACAAATGATCCCTCAGCTCATGACACACCCACTTCTTCAGAGGGTGCCTCGACTCCACCTATTCCTAAGCCTGATCCTTCAATTATTGAAGTTGAGGATCCACCTCCACCACCACCCCTCAGAAGATCTTCTCGTCCTGTCAAGTCCACCAAGCTACCAGATTTTTCTTACTCTACATATTCCGGACCATTTGCTTCATTTAAAGGAAGCATCCATCATCTGTCTGAACCTGAATCATATAGAGAAGTTGTTTCAGATCCTCTTTGGCAGAATGTTATGGCTGAAGAACTCACTGCTCTTCATCAGACTCATACATGGGATTTGGTTTCTCTTCCTCCTGGGAAACATATGATAGGTTGTCGTTGGGTGTACAAGATAAAAACAAAAGTTGATGGTTCTGTTGAATGATATAAGGCTAGACTTGTAGCAAAAAGGTATTCCCAACAATATGATTTTGACTACGAGGAGACATTTTCCACAATTGCAAAGATGACGACAGTTCGTACTATGATTGCAGTTACATCCATTTGATAGTGGAAGATCTTTCAAATGGATGTCAAGAATACCTTTTTGAATGGTGACCTTCAAGAAGAGGTTTATATGACCCCTCCTCTGGGAATTCAGCACCGACTGGGCGAGGTTTGTCAGCTTTGCAATGCTTTGTATGGGCTCAAGCAAGCCCCTCTTGCTTGGTTTGAAAAATTCTACACAATGATTACCTCTCTTGGATTTGTCCATAGTAATCACGATTCTGCTCTGTTTGTTAGATGCTCGAGTGCAGGATGGATTCTTCTGTCCTTATATGTTGATAACATGATTATTACAGGTGATGATCATGATGTTATTAAGTCTTTGAAGCATGATCTAGCTCGTCGATTTGCTATGAAGGATTTGGGCTTGCTGCATTATTTCTTGGGTATTGAGGTCGCTCAGTCTAAGAAAGGGTACCTTCTTTCCCACACTAAATATATATATCTAACATATTTACACGGGCGAGACTTTTTGACAATCGAACTGTTGATACCCCTCTTGAAGCTAATGCACAATATTCTCCTACTGATGGTGTTCCTTTGTCTGATCCGAATCTTTATCGTACTGCGGTGGGAAGTTTGGTTTATCTCACAGTCACTCGTCCATATATTGCTCATGCTATTCATGTTGTCAGTCAGTTTGTTATTGCACCTACCTCTATTCATTGGGGAGTTGTTCTTCGTATTCTGAGATATCTTTGTGGCACTCAGTTTCAGACTCTCTTGTTTCCCTCGATGTCTTCTCTTGAGTTACGTGCCTATAGTGATGCTGATTGGGATGGTGATCGTCTTGATCGTAAGTCTACCACTGGATTTTGTATATTTCTTGGAGAATCTATTATTTCATGGAAGAGCAAGAAACAGGATGTTGTCTCTAGATCTTCCACGAAGGCTAAATATCATGCTATGGTTGTAACTACATGCGAGATTATCTGGTTACGGTGGCTGCTTGCGGATATGGGAGTTTACATTTCTTCACCTACTCCCTTGCATTGTGATAATTAGAGTGCGATACAAATTGCGAAGAATTCTATTTTTCATGAGCAGACGAAGCACATTGAGATTGATTGTCATTTTACTCTTCATCGCCTGCAGCTTGGGACCATTTCTTTCGTCAACCTTGCAGCTTGCGGATATTTTTACGAAGGCTTTATCGTCTTCTCGGTTTCGGTTCTTATGTGACAAACTCTCAATGCTTATTGTTGTGGCATTGTGAGTTTGAGAGGGGATGTTAGTCTATATATTATAAGCCCGCTTGTTTATGGGCCCTTTTGTCTTTAGCTCATTAGGGTTTCTGTCTAGCTTGTATTTATATCCGCATTATTCCATGTAGTCTTTATGCTTTTCTCTGAGAATCCTTGTAATTTCTCTTTGTTATAATCATATGACAATGTTATCATATATATATATATATATATATATATATATATATATATATATATAAAGGTATGTTTGGCAAAAAAAAAAATGGTGGTAGCCAGAAGCTAGAAGCACTAGCTTTTATTTAAGTTGGATCTGTGATACAAAAGAAAATTTTACCTTTTCAAGTATATAAATACACACAAAACATAAAAAGTAATTTACAAAAGCTCATAAATCTCTCAAAGGTTACAAAGCTACTTGAAGTAACTTTCAAATTAAGAGATTTATGTTTTAAAATAAAAGCTTTTAGCGTATATTCTTAAGTGAAACTATTAATTCTTCTAAAAAAAACTATTGATGTGTGAAGACTTGAGCAAATGTGCTTTTAGTGAGAAAATATGCTCTTTTAGAGAAAAGATGCTCCCTTGGTGAGAGAAGTCTCCATTAATAAGAAAATATCGCCTTTGCTAAATGATGTTAAGTCTTTAAAGTAATTGGATACTTAAAAAAAGAGCTGAATCTTTTTTATCCAAGTTTAGAACATTGATAAATGCACCCCATCCATATATAAATGCACCCTTGATCATCAAGGTTCCCATTAGAACTAAAAGTGCTCCCGTTGGAGTAAAGTGTTCTCATATCGATGTAATGGTACATGATGCGCCCCTATATGCATTGGTAGTTTGCCATACACATCCCTCAAGGTTAAATGGTCTATAAGCATTTGCACGGTGTTCTAGGATTAGTTGACAATTATGACATTCCCTTCATAATCTAATTATGTACGGATCTGACCCATAAGAATCATGGTTTCTCATGTTTACCTATAAATAGACGTACATCACCATCATTAGTTATGGCTAGTTTACGTGAGCACATTTAAGAGAACAATCATTGTAAGGTTGAGAACATATATTTTGGATCCGTTTGAAATAAAGAGATAATCTTTTGTTTTGAGTGCTTAACTGAGGTACAACTTTGTGAGTGCACTACTAGAAAAACAGTCTTTTATGACACTCATTGCGCGTCGTAAAAGGCTCAGACGACGCGCAAATGCGCGTCAAGGAAGGCCCTGTCATAAAGAGAGACGACGCGCTTTTGCGCGTCGTCTATAGACGACGCACATTTACGACGCACGTGTACGACACGCAATGCATATCAAGGAAGGCCTTGTCATAAAGGAAGACGACACGCATTCGCGTGTCGTAACCTTACGACGAGCGTGTTAATGACACACAATGCGTATCGTTAAAACCCCTGTCAAGAAAGGCCATGTCATAAATGAAGATGACACACATTTTTGCGTATCGTAAATTTAAATGTTTAAAAAAAATATATTTATATTTTTATTAATTTTTAAATTAAATTTGCATTTACTGTTTCATAATAGAAATAAAATACCATATAAAAAAATACAATCCATTGCATAATATTTAATGTCATACAATTCTATTTCTTACAATATATAATGTTACAATAAACAAAAAAATACAATCCATTGCATAATATTTATTATCTTATCGATCAACACTATATTGAATATTTGATGACTATAAGCACTAGATAACTCAGCTGAACAAACAACAATAACATCTAGATTCTAGGTTCTCTTGTATACAAGACATTTATACAAGACTAGCCATGGCTTGGGCAGAGAAGAACTTGTCAAGAATTTCATCAGACTTGAGAAGATTTGCTAAAAACTGAATGATGTGTATGGTTAATGATGATGATACCACATTTTCATCTTGAAACAATATTGACATTAGTAAAGCACTTATCCATATGCCCTCGGTGTCCTCAAACTCTGCCTGGAAAAAAGAGAAGCTTACTTATTAGAAGTAACAAACAGATGCTATTTAACCCTAATGCATGGACTTTTGTTAGCTAATATTAGTTCATTCACTTAAGCCCTGTTTTTTTTCGCATCAAGTGCTATATGGATAAAGATGTTCAAAAATATTTGAAAAAAATGACAGCACACTTACGGAAGAAGAAGGAAAAAATAAATAAGGCAAACTTGTAAAAGATTAGGATATGTCTTCATGGAAAAAGCCTGGCATTCTCCATTAAGTCGTTCTTTACACATTAACCCCATATATAACTTATCATACTAAGTCCATTCTTGATTAAGTCTATTAAGTCAAAAAGAAACAGCACGTCATTCAATTTCTGAAAAAATGCATTAGCACTTTTTCAGAGGCTTGTCATTGACATGTATAAATACATATACTCATTAGAATTTTCACAAAATAATATTTCTCATTACCCAATATAAAGATGATTATATAGGGTTACTTCCAAGAAAGCCCTTACATTTTATCATGTTTTATTTATTTATTTTTTGTTTTAAAAAGACAATTTTTTTCTTAATTTAAACCTGTAACTATGAGGAAACTTGTTAATTTTTAGGATTTTTTACTCATTGAACCGGCCGAGATGCTGACCCGATTAATTCCAAGAAAGGCCTTAACAAAGACAAAGTTATTTAGAAAAAGACAAAGTTATAACAACCCATAACTTTGTGTATTTCTTATAAAACATGTCAAAGTGTAAGAGCTTTCTTGGAATTAACCCTTTTATAATCCACGTCAAGATCTCAAGCAGTTGAATGGGTAAAAAATCCTTAAAAGAACAAATTTCTTCAGAGTTGCAGACTAAAATGAAGAAAAAATTGTGCCTTTTTCATAAACATGTCAAAATGTAAGGCCTTTCTAGTACTTAAACCTTTTTTGTATTTGAATGAACTGTTTTTGTCGCAACCATATAATCTCAGTGGGTGGTTAAGTGCTAGTAATCCGGTTATGCTTTTAAAAAATGAGACATACGGGACCCACCTGTGAATTTAAAGTATATTTCTCTAGCTTGTCTGAGAGAACTTCAAGTACCCCAGCTTCCACTACAATACGCCTGTTTCCCTCACCTCCATCATGGATGCCACTTCTGTTAGCCAAACCCCTTGGAGTTCTAACATCAACTTCAAGAGGGTAACAACCTGAACTTTGTTTTATGATATCTACTAATGCATATATAACAGATTTTAAGTACCCTGAAGCATCAAGTGCTTCCATGGTTTCCTTTCTGTGCTCCTTCAAACCACAAATGAGCAGTGAAATTCCCCCAACTCTCACTATATGAATACCTTGAAGAATCAAACCCAAGAGAAATAGCTTGATAGTTCTGAGTACAACCATGTGGGAATACTACCACTAAAATATGTGAAATAGTCAGCACAAAGAGAAAAAGTATGCACATAAATGATTAAAGTTGGAATATTTTCTTACTGCAATCAAGCTAGTATAGTTCATGAGTTCATCTATGTCAAGGACTTTAGTCCTAAAGGCAACGCCTTCCAAGGACATGGGAACAAGTTTGACTTCAACAGGACGTAAGAAAGCCATTTTTTCAGCCACCTGAACACAAAAGGTAGTGTGGTATTAGAAGAAAAAAGAATGATGTCATTGAACGTGAGTTTCTTATACCTTCTGCCAGTCAACAAAGTCAATGAGTTCAGGGTCCATGGTTTCTTTTGCAGCTATTTGAAGTATTTTTCCCCATCTTGTTTCTCAAACCTGCATGATCAGAAGGGGAATTCTTGAATGGAATCAAAAATTAATTAACTATAACAATTATTTAACTATAACTAAACTTTTATTATACTTCAAATGATTACAAAACAAGTAAGCAACAAGACCGAGAAAAATGTTTCAAAAAAAAAGTTGAAAATTATATGGCATGGGACAGGGGCATTTTAGGCATGAGAGAGAGCTTGATGATTTCCCAAATGCCCCTGATTCTCTTTACTTGATGATTTCCCAAATGCCCCTGATTCTCTTTACTGTGAACATATAATTCGATAACTTATAATTCAAAACAAACCAATTAGCATAAAGAGAGAGCTTACCAGTGGAGTACTTACATTTAACATAGAACAAAGATTTCAAGCAAATAGATTTTAAAAAAAAAGATTCAAATCATATCCCAACATCAGATTTCAGCATGAGATTTTAGCAAATATATTTCAGCAAGTATGTTTGTTTCAACAGTTCATTAGTAAACATTTCAACACAAAAAATTAAAGGCAGCAAAATGAATTCAACTAGGATGTTTTATCTCAAGATGAAAATTCCAGCAGAGCAACATAAGATCGACCAGCATAAAAACGATTCAATCAGACAAGTATCTGTTGCATCAAGAAAATATAATTATTCAAAATCAACAACCAATCACTTTCTGTTGAAGCATATATACACACAATTCGGAAACAAATCAGTCAAACCTACATACATTTAGTCCATAGCTCCAAGTCTAGAATCTTTTTATTTGGATTTTTCATGTTGGGGAAAAGGAATACCTGTAAACAACCCATTTCATATCAATACAGATCATTGACCTAGGATTTCATTGTAGATGGTGAGGCTTAAAGGAAAAAGAAGTGTTATTAGTGTCCTCAAAGAAATTTTCTTTAACCCTATTAGAGGAATCCAAGAACATCATGGAGCTTCTACCATTACCATTTGGAACAAATTGGAACTTTCCAGTAGTTGGAGATGGTTGAACCTACAACAGAAAGGATCATTTAGTATAGTAAATTACTAATATACCCCTAGTTTCTAGTGAGCTTACCAATGAGTTGGAAAGGAAAACAGGTGATTCCAGAAAAGAAGTTGGGCTAACACCAGGTGAAAATAAATATGGAGATTGTTGAGTTTGTGAATTATCAGAAGATTTTATAATCTCTGTATTCAACCTAGGAGCATTATGACCAGCTCTAGCTGCCATTCTTTCAATAAGAGGTGCCCTTGAGCTCGTTTTTTGATCACCAAACTCACTTGATTTTGTCACATCGCCATTTTCAGACCCGATTTGGGGATTTGGTCCAGGGAAAGTGAACCCGGTGTCGTTATTGGTATCGTTTTTTGGAGGGTCGGGTACTGATCTTGAACCAGGATCATCCCCCAACACAGCTGCAAAAAAAGACCTAGGGCTAGGGCTCGGAGGCATCCAATCGCCAATTATCCCACCATGATCGTCAAAACCACCCATGAAAATCGAAAGCTTTCTTCCTTGATTATCTGTTCAGTGGTTTCTTAGTTTTTCAGACTTTGAAATTTCACACAAAATCGAAACAGTGATGATGGTGTTTTATGTACGAAATCGTAGTGTTTTGGTTGTGTTTTTTTGGAATCGTCAAGCTTTAAACAGTAATGATAGTGTTTTTATGTACGAATTAATTGATTGCAAAAATAACAACAACAAATAAATGTACAGATTTAATTTCCGCTTTTGGTAAAACGATAAACCAAAAAAACATTTGAATCGTCTACCCGATTGAAGTGGGTAGACCACAATAATAGAAGATAATATAGTTTTTCTAAAATGGGAATCGAAAATCGATGATATTCAAACATTCGCTTTTCACATATTCTCGTGGATTAAGCCCAATTTTGCAATCCCGAACCAATAATCGATATCCGAAAACGATCTAGCTAAAGGGAATTCATTAAAACCAGAGATCTGAATGGGATTGCAAAATCCAACCAACTTCAAATCAAATCTATCATTTCTTTCACACGAACAATTAAGGGTATAAACTATAGAAACTAAAAATGGAAATCCAGTTGAAGAATCGATGGAATGATTGAAAAAACATGATTAAGGGTTGTGATACGAACCTAGAAAACAACACACAGACAGTCAAGGGTAAGCTGATAACAAAGGAGACCCTTTTGTCTCCTCTGATTAGTTGATTCTCTGTGATTAACAGGCCACAACGCAGAGCACACGTCTCTAGGTCCTAAAACATACCTTTGGCAAATTAGATCTAACTGATAGACCATGGGAAGGCAAGAATTTGGAGATGTGGAGGACATCGGTCGGCCGAGCAAGTCGACGACTGTTGTTGAGAAGTGTCGAGATAAAGATAAGGTCGGTCATGTAAACAAAAACATACCTTAATCGTACTTAGGGCTTGCAAATTTGAGCAGTCATTGTAGTCTCTGGTGACGTGAGGTGAGCCCGAGGTCGCTGGTGGAAAGAGATGAGTCGAGGTCGCCGGTGGAAAGAGATGACTTGAGGTCACCGATAGGAGGTGAGGTGAGGGAGCGAACATTACAGAGAGCACTCCTTGAAAAAGCCCTAGATAATGGTCCCTGCAATGGCGGGGTCTTCAACTTTTCTAATTTTTTTGAACACAAGGTTTTAGATTTGGTCGACGCCATTAATGAGGAGACCTCGCATATCAATTATGATTCACCTTCGCTTTATCTTCTTGTTCTCCTCTTGATGATTTCAGACTCCGTCTCTACGACTTTACATGATATTTTTTAGAAAGGAGTCTTTGTGGAGCATCAGGGTTTTTCTTTATTTCATAACCCTCGCATGTACTGGGTTGAGAGAAAACGAGAGAAGCGGAAGCTTGGAAGAAAATAAAACCCTAGCACGTGCTAGAGAGAAGGGAGGTGGCGATGGCTTAGGGTTTATAGAGAGACGGGAGGTAGAGAATGAAAGGAGAACTAGAGGAGAGAGTATCAGAGAGGGGAGAGTGGATTGCAAGGATAAAAGATAGATAGAATAAAGAAAAAACGAGGCGGGTTTTCAAAATTTTGGAGATTTCGTTTCCCCCTTGTCTACTAAAAGCGCGTTTCATTAAAATTATAAAGCAACAGCTACAGACAACGCGCGTTTAAGATAAAGCGCCCTCCGTGTTTTTATTTTTTTTTTCTTGAGACACTAAATTAAGGGCACTCAATAATGCGTGACGTAAATCCTTAAATTTTTTGGAGAGATGACACTATTTTAAGGGCACGTCCTTTTCCGTATCATTAATCAGTGTGTGTCGTAAAAAGCGCGTCATTAAAGGACATTTTTCTAGTAGTGGTGATTGTAATTATTCTCGAAAGTTAATAAAATTCTCTCTCTCTCTTGTCCATGGATGTAAGTTATTTTGACCGAACCATGTTAAATATTGTATTCAAATTTCAATTATTTTAGTATAGTTTTTCAAAAGTGTTTTTTGTGTGTTTTACCGAAGTTCGTGTATCATGTATCTAAAATGATTGATTTGTTTTGTCGAATCCCAACAAAAACATGCTTTCTGTAGATAATATCATCAAAAAGGGATTTAGAGACATTTTAATATTGAATAAATATGTCTAATTAATAGCCTTTCATTGATGAAGATAATAAAAAGTCAATCTTAAAAAAGGTAATCTAGTCATTACGAAATGGCATCATCATCAAGTAAAATTAATCATGAGAATTTAGTTATGCTATGAAATGTATCAATAAATTAAATATATTAAATCTATAATTTGAAATTTTAGATTCACTAATTTTTAATATTATATTTTAATTAATAAATTAATAATATTATTTAAATAATTAACATTTTTTACATCAAAACTATAATGTTTTACATATAATATATGTAACCTAATAAATTAAATATATATTGTTGTAAAAGTTAAACCAATAGTTTAAATATAGAATAATAAAGTAGTTTAATAAAAAACAATTTAATATGATTTAAGAAAATTATTTATCTAGGAAACAAGATACAAAAACAAATTCAACTTCTATTTTTTTTTTCTCAAAAAACAATACATATAATAAATAAATAAAAATATAAATCTTCTATTCACTTGAATTTAACATATTCATATTTCATACACATATATTTTTTCATATAGCAAAAAGAAATATATTTGTTAAACTCACAATCTTTATCATGACTTTTAAGATCACCACATGAACAATAAAAAAAATTATTAACAACTGATTTATTTGTACAAATTTCCATCTTCCGAAGTGGTGTTTCTACGTTTTTGGTGAAACGCATATAAATTCACACCCTAAAAGTAGGGCTTTGTGTGCTACAAAATCATCGTTTCCTCTATATTATTCTTCAAATTGTGACAATATAATCTACTTACATGAACTACATGTATCTATATTAACTAATTACATGTCATAAGTACCAATTAATATATCATATGTTAAAAAACTATTGATTTGAATTAGTTAAAATTTTAATAGTTTAGTAATAAAATAATTATTTCATGCAATCATATATATATATATATATATATATATATATATATATATATATATATATATATATATATATATATATATATATATAGGGTTAGGTTCATTTGAGACCACCTATATTTTGTGAGACCGTGAGACGCATTTTTTTTATTTTTTTATTTTATGTTTTATTTTTTTAATTTTTTTTAGTTAATTCATGTTCCGAAAATAATATTTAAAAAAAGAATTTTTTGATTTTTCCATTTATTTTGCATTTTAAATTTATTTTTAGAATATGTACAGTGTAATATTCTATTTATAATATTTCACGTATTTTTCAAAAAAAAAAAAAAGAATTTTTTTTATTTTTTTTTAATTTTTTTTAATTAATTCAAGTTCCGAAAATAATATTTAAAAAAAGAATTTTTAGATTTTTCCATTTATTTTTCATTTTAAAATTATTTTTTAGAATATATCAGTGTAATATTCT